GATTTATGCGAGCCGTTGCGAAAACTGACAGTACAAAACGCAGAATGGTGCTGGTTAGATTCACATGATAGAGCGGTATCCGAGATTAAGAAACTAGTATGCGCTAGTCCAGTTCTTAGATACTATGATCCGAAAGAAGAATTGACGCTTCAATGTGACGCTTCGCTAACAGGACTAGGAGCAAGTTTATTGCAAAATGGACAACCGATAACGTTTGCAAGCAGAGCACTTACCGATGTTGAGACCCGTTACGCTCAAATTGAAAAAGAGATGTTAGCCGTAGTATTTGGTTTAGAGCGATTTCACCAGTACACCTACGGACGAATTGTTAATGTGGACAGCGATCATAAACCTCTCGAGTCGATAGTGAAGAAATCACTTTTAGCCGCTCCGAGACGTTTACAGCGTATGTTGCTCAGAGTACAGCAATACAATTACAATATCAGATATAAACCCGGAAGTACAATGTATATTGCCGATACATTGAGTCGTGCGTATCTAAAAGAGACTGATACAACAAGCTTTGAAAAGGATTTAGAAGTTATAAATATGGTGAAATATTTACCGATGACAGAATATAGAGTAAAAGACATTAACTTACATACTCAGGATGACGAGTCGTTGCAAGTATTGCAAACTACCGTATTACATGGATGGCCGATTAAGCGCGAGGACACGCCCTCACTTGCGAAACCGTACTTCGACTTCAGAGATGAGATAACCGTACAAGATGGAATTCTTTTCCGTGGTGAAAGAGCAATTATTCCGAGAACTCTCCGTATGGACATGATGCAGCGTATTCACTCGTCTCATATTGGAATTGGTGGTAGTTTACGCCGTGCAAAAGAATGCTTGTATTGGCCCGGTATGCATTCTGACATAACACAGTATATTCAATCGTGCGAAACATGCCAAATGTTTGAGAATAAACAGCAGAAAGAGACTTTAATTCCGCACGAAGTCCCAGACCGACCATGGGCAAAAGTTGGAACCGATCTGTGTAGTTTCGAAGGAAAGGACTATCTTGTGACTGTGGATTATTTTTCTAATTTTTGGGAAATTGACTTTCTAGAAAGCACGAAACCGAAAACCGTCATTCGCAAACTACGAGCCTTATTCGCATACCCGACACCGTAATATCCGATAATGGACCGCAATTTAGTTGCAACGAGTTTGCGAAATTCGCAACCGAATGGGAATTTGACCATAAAACGTCTTCTCCAACCTACCCGCAAAGTAACGGAAAAGCAGAACAAGCAGTGAAATCCGCAAAGAGACTCATGAAACGTGCTCGAAAAGACAATAAAGATATTTACATGAGTATTCTAGACTTCCGTAACACGCCAACTGAAGGAATGTCTAGCAGTCCATCACAACGACTTATGTGTAGAAGAACGAAAACGCGATTGCCAATTTCGTGGTCTCTCCTGAAACCGCATATTCCTTTATCCGCATCACAGGAAATCGAACGAAACAAAGATCAACAGTGTAAATATTATGACCGAAACGCGAGAGACTTACAAGAGTTAGAAAGTGGACAACGTGTATGGATATCTCCGAAACCGAATGATCGTACTAAGACTTGGACAAAAGGTATTATTAGGAGAAAAGTGGACAATAGATCTTATGAAGTGAACACCGATCAAGGACAGAAATTGCGTCGAAACAGGAGAGACATACGTATAAGTAGTGGCACAAACAGACAATCTGACAATTACGTGAGGCCGAATGATATTGACTTTAATCTGTATAGAATACCAGAAGACGCACCTAGCACCGATAACAGAAATAGACCAAATCAAAACATTGACAATACTCAAACCGCGACACCGCCTCGTAGTCCGTCTATGGAACCTAGTGTCAGTCAACCCGATGTTGATTGTAATCCGTCCGACCAGCCGATTAGAAATCCACAATCTACCAATACCAGATCCGGAAGACAAGTGAAGTTTCCACAAAAGTACAATGACTTTGATACTGGATAAATGTGTAAAATTTTATGAAAATGTTGAACTGTTAAAGTGAATTTTCTAGTCAAGTCTTTATTTCTGAAATTAACAATTTTCTAGTCAAAGTTTTAACTAGTCATTACAAATTTTATTGACAGTAATTAATTTTGGAAATGTCATTTTGATTTGATTAATTAGCTTTTCTTAAAGAAAGAAGGATGTAACGATTATACTTTATTATATTCGTTTCGTTTATACAAATCTGTAATTTGTGTTCATCACTTCCGTTTTGGATCATTGAGCATTAAAAATGGCACTCTCCATGTAGTCACATGTTTATATGCATTACCACTCATACGGCCCGAACAGCCAAACACACAACATAACAAAGGCCTCCTCTGACCATTATCACTATGTATTGGTTACCTAAACTACACAAAAAAACCCGTAGAATATCGTTTCATCTAGGCATCTAGTAAGTGTTCTACTACTAATCTGTCGGAGCTTTTAACGAGTTCCTTAACTACTATCAAAGAACTTATCGTTTATTTTTTTAATTAAACATATGAAAACATCGGAATTAACCATTTTTGGAGTATAAAAAATTCTTTGGATATTTTAGATACATTTTTTATGGTCCTTTTGATTCGGTTGACAGTTTTCCGCTCTTTATACTAAACTTCCACAAAATCTTATCAAACAAAAATTTTCCTTTCTAATTAAATAGTCGTTTGATAAATATGGTTGCAAATTTATTTGCTGTAAAAGAGGGACGAAAGATTTTGCTGTAACTCATTAACAGCCTTTTTCTCTAATGAGAAAGGTAAATATGCTAGATATACTTACCGGAGGTGTGATGAGATGATTAAAGCACTAGATTTTCTCCTTGACAACATTTATGTACGTTTCAGCAATAAAGTTTATCGACAGATTGAAGGTATTCCTATGGGCACCAATTGTGCCCCTTTGATAGCAGACTTGTTCCTTTACTGTTATAAATCACAGTTTATGGCCAAACTCGGTAAAGAACCGTTCAAATTCCATTTAATTGATAAATTCAACTACACTTACCGTTATTTTGATGACATTTTTTCGTTAAATAATCAAGAATTCTCTAACTATACTGCTAAAATTTACCCAAAGGAACTTACTTTAAATAAATTTAATATCAACAGCAATAACTGTCTTTTCCTAGATATTTCAGTATTACACCAGAAACTCTACACAAAAATGTACGACAAAAGGGATGATTTTTTCTTTCCCTATTGTTAATTTTCCCTTTTTGGACGGTGTTCGCTATACTCCTGTCTGTAGTGACGTTTTTGATTTTTACTGAACGTAATCTATCTATTACTAGTAAATTATTAAGTCAGGGATTTCGTTACCACAAATCACTAAAAACCTTTCAAAAGATACAAACTTTGGTCTGCAAGTTTGGCTGAACCTGTAGAAAACTTATTTCAAACGGAATAGCATATCCTAAATTTTACGGTGATGTTGTAAACCGAGCCCGGAAATTCAGATACGATCCGGGTAAACTTTTCAATCCTTTAAATAAACTTATTCTAAAAGGTTACCGATTCAACACTGTAATTAAATCTTTGAATATTGTTTGTATTGGTATAATGATTTTATTATCAGTAAATTAAAACCATACTAAATATTATTGTTATAAACAAATGCACATTCATGGTTCTACAATCTGTCGATGCCAATATTTTGGGCATTGCACAAGGTCATGTTTTTCTCTGACGTCTCTACACTAAATCCATTGGATGTTGGATGTGTACTGATTGATATTTCAGTCTTAGATACATGATTTTTTATTAAGTTCTTATTGGCTTTGAACTAGCTATCAATAACTGCTAGTACTATCAGATCTGTACTTGTGTCTGTTTTGTTGTGATGATGTATAAATCCTCTGCCACGTCCGGCCCGTGTTTTTGTTAGATGTTTTTCCTGCTTTATATTGATCTGATGAATTAAGCACTTTTCAACTGATTTTTACAGTTTGTTCTTATGTTGTACTGATACACTGCTGTTGCGGTTTTGTGTGTGTGTGTGTGTGTGGGGGGGGGGGGGGGGGTCACATTCGAACATGGTTATCTTCGCCACATTCTCTATGTGCCTGCCTCAAGTTAGGAGCCCATAGTTTAGTGGTTGTCGTTGATTCATGTCTGTCATATTTTTTTTTCGTTTTTGTTTTGTTATAAATAAGGCCGTAATTTTCTGAGCTGAATTGTTTCATGCTTTACATGTCGGGACCTTTTATAGCCGATTATACGGTATGATTTTATTCTTTGAAGGCCGTATGGCTGCCCATAGTTGCTTACATCCACTTCATTTGAACTTTGGTGGATAGTTGTCTCATTGGCAATGATATCACATCTCCTTTTTTATATTTTATCAATCCTAATGTTCCGTTTATGTTTTGTGGGAATTGGCAAATTTGAGTTTTTATAGGAAATATTTATGGATGAATAACATTATACTATAGTACGTTCCATCTAAGACGGGATTTTTATACCACACTTATGAGTATATACACAAAGAAGATAACTAACACTTTCCCTTACTTAAACAACCACATAACCACATCTTACTTGGAAGTATGATATAGCGAAGCACTCCAAAGGTTTTAAGAAATCTAAAACTTGTAAAGTGTTATTTTCGTAAATTAAAATGGCCTTCATGAAAATCACTTTCACTGTTGTGTATATTCCTGTAGTGATGATAGTAGGGATAAAGTATGATTCTGTATCAAATATAAAACCTCACAGCATTTTTTGTAGAAATGTCAAAAGCGTGCGAATGAGAATCAACTAAACCCAAATATTTGAAAATTATTTGTCAACAACCTATCATAAATTACAATACCAATTTTTCTAAATTTCACCATTTCACTTAGTAACATGTAAGGAGACAAACATCAACAATTATTGTCATTTATGTGACAAAACGAAAATGACAGTCACGACAATAAGGTATTATCTACTAATTGCATGTATATATAACATGTACTTAAATTGTTTTTCATTATGAAGTCTTATTATGGTTAATTTTGCATATAATTACTTGACCAAATGGTATATATAAACATCTGAAAATGAAGTTATGTAATTGAAATTCAGTCAGTCCAAACAAACAGGTAAGTCCTTTTTCTCGTACTTATAACATCATCATTTTAAATATAGATTCCAAGACAATTAGAAATTTTCTACAAAACACGTTTAGTTTCGCAATCAAAATTTAACGACTGTATTTGTAACAATCCCGATTATTAATTCTGAAATTGTAAGGAAATCAGCTATTCAACATTTTGTTCAAACAATGTGAATATTAGAAGCAAAGAAGTTATCATAATGAGACAATAAAAGGCTAATTTGCTAAATCAATTTGGATTGTTGTACTCTCTTACGTTTTTAATTTTAACTTTTGTCTTTTCACAATTTGATAAAAACAAATGATACCTGATGAAATTTATTCCAGAAACAGTAGTACTCGTCTTGCGCTTTGTAATGATATTGATCTTTATACATCCATATAGTTTGCCCCGCTGCCCTACTTGAAACAGAGATAGTATATGAAAACTCCATCAAAGATGCTTGAAGACGGTTATTATTCCGACTAAGTTTCTTTTGGTTTGTTTTTCCTCGTCTATCCTAGTACTGACTTTTGATTTTTCCCCAAAAAATTAACTAAATCAAAGCTTGTGTACGAAATTGATTACAACAACTGCTCAAAGAACAAAGATTAAAGTCAGAAAAGAATTTGATAATTTGTTTTTCTCTCTTGCTTTTTTTCAGAAAACCTCTTTGAGTTCATGCATTCTCTCAGTTTCTGTTTGTAACCTTGATTTGTCTCTTCTTTATCGATTAGCGAGATTAGAACATCAGTAAAATTCTGTCGCCCTTATTAAGGGTAACAGAATTCACACACAAAAAATGAAAACAAACAAACTGTTAAATAACAGGATAAAGGTGATTTATATAAAATATTGTTCATTACTTGACATCAATAAATTATTCGGGTATATTTGTTACAAATCTTTACGAGAGAATTAATCATGTTACATTTTTCAAAGTAAGCTCTGTATTTCTGTGCAGCAGCAATCAAGCATTGCTTAGATTTGTAGGATACATTTTACAGTTGATCATGTTGATGCGATATTCCCAGGAGCTGTGTTTCGTATTACTATTTCCTTGATAGAAATACAATTTTCACTTCCTCATGTTGATACGATATACCAGGGATTGCTATCATACTATTTCCTTGATCGAAAAAATAAATTTCCAAGTTGATCATGTTGATTCGATATGCAAGGGCTTGTTTTTCTTTCAACTCTTTCCGTGATAGAAGGAAATATCTCCGGATATATCTCCTTGTTAATAAATATTAATGCAATATACCAGGATCTACGTTTTCAATTAATATTTTCACGTTACAGGGTTGCTATTTACAACAATAATCCCATTATTTGCCTTGATTGTGACATCGAGAGACTCATCAGTGAATTTGTATGGATGTAACCCACTCTTCCTGAGCTCCTGGGTTCAATGCTAGTTAAACTAGCCTAAGGGTTGAGATCTCACAAAACATGTTTAACCCGCCGCATTTTTGCGCCTGTCCCAAGTCAGGAACATCTAGCCTTTCTAGTCTTGTGTGTTTTTCTAATTTTGGTTTATATGTATGTTTCGGAGTTTAGTTTGGCGTCCACTTCGCTGAAAAATTATGGTATAGGAGCCATCCAAAGCCCTCCTCCAGGTGCAGGATTTTCTCGCTGCGTTGAAGACCCATTGGTGGCCTTGGTATGTTTTCTGCTCTTTAGTCGGGTTGTTGTCTCTTTGACACATTCCCCGTTTCCATTCACTATTGTATTTGTTTGCTCAAAGTTGAGTTTTCAGCTCTGTTGTGTTGGTAGACTGATAGTAGTATGTTCGTCGTTTTAATTTTTGGCTCTAGTATATTCTGCGTTTTGTCGACTTTTGTATTTTTGCTTTTTCCATATGTGTGTTCTTCACTTTTTTACGAAACCTGGATACATAAAATACGTATTTTACAACAAACGTAGAATAAAGTACGATGTTTATGTTCACGTAAAATTGGTTAAAACCCAACCACATATTATGCCTTTATCAAGTTAGGCTAGGTTGAAATGTGTAACTAGAAGCTTTATTTTTACATATTTTCGTCTATTTTTCTGAGTGTTTCGGTAATTCTGGTTATGCTTATTTTGTAGTAAAATATGTATTAAAGCAAAGATATAGATTCTTGAATGCGCAAATATTTTAGTGTTTGTGATAAGTCACAAATGATATGTTGATAAGTCTTTCACATTTGTTCACGTATATATTAATGATATAGATTTGTAAATGGTTCATCATGAACATTTTGATTTACTTTCATTTTCATTTCCGATGGATTGATTCAGATACAGCGCTCTTTGCTGGCAACGTGATTGTTTTAAATGTGTAAAAATGAAACCTGTATCTCAAAATTAGCTCCAAATTAGTCATTAATTGTCAATCTATAAAAACTTCTTTAATTATTTTTACAAAACGTTTGATAAAAAAACAAATGTCGGACAGTGGGTCAACAAAGCATTTCAGTTTGATTATGGCAAATTTTTGCAATAAAGAAATTTCATATACGTACGCGTACTTAATTATAGGCATGGTCTTTTAGTTGTTTGTATCATTTATCATTTATCATTTATTTATTTTATTAACGCTGGACATTAATATTTGTCTTCCTATACAATATACCATGCCATATTTCTGGATATACATTAAATTTGTATCATTGTACAAATATGAAGACTTGTATACTTGTATATGTCTTTTTATAGATAAAGTGTATCTAAAACATTACGAAATCTATAAATTTGCTGAAGCAAGTTTTTGTTTCCTCAGAGGGATTCGGACCCATGCTTCTATGCTTTTGAGGAGAAACCAGATCACCAAATTTGTTATTTAATGTAAAGTATACGCTAGTCGAGTAATATCCTCACTCGTCGGCTTAATCTAGGAAGATGGAGTACTTACAAAACAGCTGTTTTTTATCTGTCGTAAACGAAAATAATACTTACTTTGCAGTAACATCAATATCATTTTATTATGTACGTCTATATTTCAGTCGAAATATAGGTGGTGTATAGTTATAGGTTATCTGATGAAGAACGCCTGTCGTGAAGTTGTTACATTCTTCTTGCTTTCCATAGTATCACAAGTGTTTCATCATATCTATATATACATTTAAAGGAGGATTTGTATTTTTTTAAATCAGGGTGATTATTGATAAATTGTATATAAATGTTTCAATTAATTTTTCAGGAATCCACAAAATGCTGTTGTTTGTTGCTGTTCTATTCGTTGTGGTTGTCAACAGTGCTGTTAACGGTATTATGTACGGTAAGAGGTTTAGGTGTGAATGTTGAAATGGATAAGTGATTAACGGTAAGGAGTTTAGGTTTGAACATTGAAACCGATAAGTAGTTAACGGTAAGGAGTCAAGAATTGAACATTGAAATTGATAAGTGATTAACGGTAAGGAGTTTACGTTTGAACATTGAAAGGGATAAATGGTTACAGCTGTTGATATTGTCTTATGTAAGTTTTTCCAGCTGTAAGCGTTTCTATAGGTAAGAAATTACGCTATAACTTAGCCTTAGTCTTATAAGGTACTTTTTGGAATTTTTGGTTCTCAAACACTTTTTTGAAATCTTAAAAAAAAGTTAATTGATTGCTTTTGCGCCACTGATAGGTTTTATGTAGACCAAACACGTGTCTGGCGTATCAAATTATAACCTTTGTGAATGTTAACAGATGTAACCGGTAAAATAGATAAATATTCACAGTTGTCCATGGATCCGTTTTTGAAAAGTTGAAAGTTGTCACAGTTGTAAACGGTACTATCGCTAAGTGGAAGACGGTTAAGTTGTAAGGTTTTATGAGTTAAAGTTTTGAATGGTGCAATGAATACTGGTAAAAGATGCTGTTTATACATAGTTACAGTTGTAAACGACTCTATGGGTTAGGAATTATAGGTATAGTACTTAAGATGAGTTATGTTAGTAATAAAAGGCGCAGTGAGTAGATAGTCATAGATCACAGTTGTAATCACATTAACGGTACCGATTTTTCATGTTCATTTTGAAAATCAATGTCTCTTTAGTGATGCTCGAGGCAAAAGCATTTGAAAATCAAAACGTAATTAAACGTTGAAGAACCGATAAATGCTGCAATGAGTAGATAATTGTAAATTCAAATTTGATTACCCAAGTTCCCTTTCAGATGTATATTATTGAAACGATTTCAACCATTCTATATTTTGAGATTACAGATTCGGATTTGAAAGGAATTTGACAGACAAACATTTTATAATCGGCGAAAAATAAGTAAATGTCCAACGTTAAATATGAAATACAATTTGCAGGGAAACTTAAATTTTAGTAAAAAAAAAAAGTTTTGAGAAATAAATTTCATGAATACTGAATAACATGTATATTTTGTGCTAATTTACATAAATTGTAGAGGGAAAATGAAATTTAAAGAGCATAAAAAACATATTTTCAGACTGTCTAGTTTGCACATAACCCAGGAAAAATTGGTTTAAAAATACGATAAATATCCTGTATATGTTTCGTGGATCAAACAATGTCCCCATTACAGCATGAAATAAAAAAAAAGATAACAACATGTTATAAGTTTCACGCGTCCGAAGCTCATTTCTGGAATTACCTTTAACAGGAACGTTCATAGCCGAATATTTGAAAGCCAAGGATGTATAAATACCGATCCAGCTAATGTCAACTTTGCCTGTTGAGTGTAGAGTAGGTTGTATCTCAGTTGGGATTATGTTTGCTGTCTGAATTGCAATTTTGAAGTGACGTTATATTTTATCTTCTTTTAACAGTTTAGTATGACATTTACAAATAGTTATATTATGAATGGCATGTAACATTCCTAAACAGTTAGTTAAACATCCTTAATGAAAAATATTATCACGTTTTATGATTAGAAGTATTCCAAAGCTCATTGACAAGTATTTGGTCTTGTTAATTCAATCATGAAGGAAAAGTAGAAAGAAAATTTTGGACGTTTGCATGTTATAATTTAAAGTTCTCACTTAAGCTAAACAAACTCAACATAGATACCAGGATTATAATTTTGTACACCAGACGCGCTTTTCGTTATATAAATCTCATCAGTGATCCTCGGATAAAAAACTTTTAAAATTTAACACAGTGGAAAAAATGAGAAAATTGTGTTATCCTCCATTATAATTTTGATGATTAAATTAACTTTATAAGCTGCAAGATTCCGTAGAAATATATTACCGTGAGACTAAATGCAAATTTGTTTTGCCAGAGAAGATTGATTGTATATTGTAAGTGTTTAACGCCACTTGCAGTATTATCTGCTATACCGTAGCGGCCAGTTTTTATTGCTGGAGGAATCCAGAGAGAACCACCGACCTTCGACAAGAAAACTGACAATACCAGTCAATAAAGATCGAAGTCGAACTCGTCTGCTACGTGCGGAGCTTTAACTCACAAGCCTATTACTGACAGGCTTTTGATTGCTATTAATATATAAAAAAAAACTATTCAAACCACCCGGTCACCGATACCCCTTGCTATCCTATAGAAGAAACTTAAATAAATTACTTGAAACAATTGACATTGTGACTTAAAAGTGATACTAAGTTCTCGTTTACATTTGTAAAAGTAATATTCTGCTACAAATGAAATTAATATTACTTTCAGACAACTGCAATAATACAATGCTCCCGTTACATTTTGCTGTTTGTCTGCTATTGCTACACACCACACACGTTCCCGTAAAATGTTGACGTCACAAGAGAAAATGACGTATGCAACAAAATAAAAGTGCTTGTTCTATGACTTCACACGTTCAGTTATCGAAAGTTCTCGGGTCAAGTGTTGCAGAATTCGCACAACGATAATAATATACCTCTACTACGTGGTTGCGTAACAGTTTATCTATTAAATTACGTGGGTACATGTATCCTTTGAGTCGAGAACAATTGAAAGGTAAACTTTTTTATAATAAAAGTAAAAAAAGAAAGTCAATAGTAGTTTTAGTTTGCTGACAATACTGATTTAAAGTTATTTTGAAACCAGAATTTATGTTATCGATTAAAATATGTAATTTGAAATACATGGGAATAAGCAAAGTATTATATATTTATTATATAAAATGTCTGCTAAATTAATCTTTTACTCTTAATCTTTGCTGCGTATTGAGTTTTTATTATTACTATTTCATAGAAACGTTTTTTCGAGTTACCCATATAGTCAATATAGTCAATAACGTCTTGAAAGTTAAAAAAAATCAGCAGTATAAATTGGAAGGGAACACATTTTGTTACCAGAATTGTCACTGAATTTCGATCATGAAATCGATTCATTTTTAAGGAATTTCTAGGTAACTTTGAAGTCGTACTTGTGCAATAAGAAGTAAAAGATAATGTAACTGTTCTATTCCAGCTGTTAAAGAAAAAGTCGCCTCGTTTAACGAGGACTGTTAATGGTAATTTATGGCACAAACATCGACCATCGACCATCTCTGGCAAATAAGATTTATCATTACTTTCCTTTCGTAACAAGACAAATAAATGCTCTCTACCCCATCATTATATCTACCTAGGGAACGAGGTAAGCTTCATATTGAGAATCTTACTGAATCAAATACAATAAGTAATGATTTGTAATTCAGTCCTCCCATAATCCCATTTTTCTTTAAGTGAATATTCAAGAAATTAATATTTAATCACTCAGGCTAAGTTAACGTTATGTGGAGTTGGCATTATTTTAAGTCCTTTTTGGACATATAGTCCCTCAGCGTTCTTCAGTAAAAATAAGTCCTTGGATTTAAAGCTTCTAGCTTTGATGAAAGTAGATCCAGAAAAGTGCTTCGAACGCATACAATTTATAAAGTGTTTTTATTTTTGACATCAGTGGTTGTCTTACGTCATATCCTAAAGTTTTACTATTATTGGACAAGTGGATGTAAATGGCAGATATATGATTGCTTATGTTTAATTTATTCACAACTGCTATATATACTTGTGTCTAGTTATTATTTTTTTTTCTTTCTTATTGACTTATACCCGACATCTTTTTTCTATTTATACTTGGACGGTTTCGGCGTTTTTTTTTGTTTCTTCAGAACTTGAATGTTTTATATTTTGCGTTTTCACAATTTTGGTCTCGGACTACCACGAAGAACACGTGATGTAAGAACAGTCATAGAATCGTGCGTTTTTTACGATCTTATCTCGTAAATATTTGTCCTTTTTCCATAATGTTCATAATATGTTCATAATAAATGATCAGATTAAAATGTGCCAAAGGAATACTATCGTCTACTTTTGTATTATTTTCTCCTGTGTAACTGTGAAATGTTTTGAAAATACAGAAAGCAAAGGAATCCTTGTTGATGAGGTTCATACTCAACAACTGGTAGATGATGTTGATACTCTAAAGCAGACTGTCCAAGGACAACATAACCAGATTTCATCGCTGTTGTCTATGATATCTGCAAAAGGTATAGTGGTGATTAATTTTTGTTTGTATATATAAATAAAGGTTCCCAAATGACTAGTATAAAACAATTCAAACAGGAAAACCAATGGTATAATCTATATAAAAAAGGAGAAACGAGAAACACTTATGAACCACACCAACAAACGACAACCACTGAACAACAGGCTTGCTTGTTTGTGTGTAATCGAGTTATAATAAAATCGTTTGTATATTAAACGGTTTTCCAACTTTTGTATGAATTACATTTTAATTGTTTTAATGAACGATTAACCGTGTTATCGGTTATACACAGGCAAATTTTGCTCACGTGAATTTCAAACGAATTTCACGTGATTCACCTCAAACGAGCTTATAAATGAAACGCACATGACAATGTTCATGTGAATTTCACGTGAATTGAGATTCACATGAACCTCACGTGAACTTTACAAAAAAGAAAATTTAAAAAGGGGCGAGTAAAATCTTTTATGCATTTAAGGTATGTGGATTTTTACAGTACAATACAAGCTAAGGTAGTGCTTTGACATGAAATTGCTGCCACTTTATTTGAACTTCTGACAAAAGAGCTATGAATGTTTGAAATTGAAGAATTTAGCAAAGAAAGCAATGAGGCCAAGAATTAGTGGTGTGCCACCTTAAAGAAACAAGTACTAAACCTCAGACTTTTAATTAATAAAATGATTACTTTCTTAATAAAACATTAAATGATAACACATATGATTTAATATGAAATAGGAAGTTGACATTTTACTTTGAGCCATGTACCTTCTCACTTTAATGAACGAAACCAATATTTTCGCTTCTTTATGTTCTCTTAATTCATTTTTTTTTGACAAACTTTAAGTAAAAAATTCCCAAACATATTTGCAGATTCCACTTTTTATAAGTCAAGATACTGAGTATATTTCTGGATAAGCCGTCGAGATTTTGATCATTAACACAGAAGTCAATTTCAAGTAGAAAAATCCTAGCAGTGATCATCTATAATTATAAGAATATCATGTATATTAAGTGACAATCCATTGACTTGTATCACTAGCCGTTAATTAACCGTATCCTACTCATTTATTTATGAAATTAACTTAGAGTTTTACATAACACTGCCAAACAAATTTGAAATATGTAGGTCTTAAGAAATAATATACCTGAGGGTCTGGGTGGGGGATGGGGAGGGTTTCATAATTTCAGTTTTCTTTAATTTTTAATGTCATTTTTCTCTATTCGTTATATTTTTCCCCATTATTCTCTATTCCTTATATTTTAGAACCCCTTTATTTTCTCTATTTTTTAATGTTTCGCCCTATTTTTCTCTTTTTTTCTTGCCGTTTATTCTGCACATTTTGACCATTATTCTCGATTCTGTAAACTCCATCTAGATTCTCAAACCCAAGCCTGAAAAAAATAATTTCTTTTATATCTGTATTTTCAGAAGCATCTGGTGCGATTTATACACGATGGGGGAGGAAGGACTGTACAAGGAATGGCACGGAATTAGTATATGAAGGTAATAAGACGAAATGTATCTCTACTAAGATGTTTAAAAATAAAGGCTATTATTTTCATTAACTTAGAATGAGAAATATGTAATTCAAAAAGGCCACTGCCCAGAAAAATTATAAACTGACTATGAATAAAAGTAGTTTGTATGGTTTGTTGATTAACTATGATTCCCTTTCAAACAAACATGAAATGTATCATCGTAAAGTAAAACGTTTTAATATAAAGGAGGTATAGCTAAGGTACATCAAATCTTTAAGATCCGGTGAAAAACAAACGTAATCAACAATAAAACATTTTTTTTTTTTTACAATTTATGTATCATTCTAATAGTATCATAAGCTGTAAAACGTTAAAAAAGAGAAAACAATCATTTATAAATGTAGTGCCAACGTTCGTTTCCATTAATACTATATCTTACTTTCAATCATGAAAGTATTGTGTAAATAATCATTACATGGGGTAATCAATTGCATTTTTATAAATGAAATTAAAGAAATCGTTGTTTTCGAAATGTTTTTTTTTTAAATAAACTGACGTTATATATTGTTACACATACTTCACATGTTCTTAGGGTTTATTTCTAAATAAACTGACGTCAAATTTTGTTTCACATATCTCTCATGTTCTAAGGGTTTGCTGGAGGAGGTCCATATGCCCAGGATGGAGCAGCTGTAAATTATGTATGCCTACCACACGATCCCGACTTTTATACCGGAGACGTATCTATGAGTCCATACGGTCATATGAGTACCATATATGGCGCAGAGTACGAAGATAATTATTTCGGTCCCAACATGTTTCAGCAGGATGTCCCATGTGCTGTATGTAGAGCTACCGTAGCGTCATCTATTCTGATGATACCAGGGAAATCACAATGCCCTTGGACATGGAAACGAGAATATTTTGGAAGACTTGCTGCTGGAGGCGATGATGAGGGGCATGGAATTGTTGCGGCTTCCGAATATGTTTGCGTTGATTACAGTCCTGTCTCCTTAGAAGACGGAAAAGCCAACCAAGATGGGAAGCTATTTGTTCCTGTTAAAGCTGTCTGTGGGACGCTGAGGTGTCCCCCGTATAAGGATAACGCATTCTTAACCTGTGTTGTTTGTTCAAAATAAAAGAAGACAATGCTGTTCATTTAATGTATAAAAGCCAAAAATTTAATACAAACGTTACCCTGTTCAAAATATTCAACATACCAACAAAAGATAATGTCCATACATATGGGACTTAGATACCATGGTAGTGTTACGTTCAATAACAATTACTTATAAATATTACAATGGCTGTAATGCACTACTGTGATTATCCAGTCAAATTAATACCGATATTTAACATATGTCAGATGTATATTCTTTTTTCCACTCATAAGATGTCATACACACATATGTGTTGCTACGGCCTTGTATAGAGATTCTAACACCGAATCGTGTGTAATACGATATTTCTGAACTCGATACAAATATTCAAAGAATATCATATAAAAATTCCGAATGGTAATCAGTGGTCTTTCATTTTCGGGATCCAGCTTTTCTCATTTGTCTTTATAAAATTGTTGTATTGTGCTTAGCAGCAATGATTGTAAAATTCTTCCAGCTATAAAAACGAAATGAAATGTGGTATTATTGTCAATGAGACAAATATCCAACACAGACGAAATGACGTAGATTTAAGCATCTATGGATCATTATATGTCTTTCAACAATGAGAAAAACCCATACCGTAAAGTAAACTATACAAGGTTCCGCCATGAGACAATGTAAAACAATTCAAGCGAGAAAAGCAACGGCCTGATTTATGTGCAAATCAATAAAAACGAAAACACAAATATGATAGACAGCGACCACTGATATCGACTGAATTATAGGCTTCTGTCTTTCTGTTAGTTGTATGTGTGCTTATTACCGATCTGATGAGTCAACCCTTTCCAACTGATGTTTAGTTTGTTCTTATGACAGTTTTATAATACTGTCTCAGGTTAGGAGTTGGTTCAGCTTTCATAAGCATGTGTTATATTTTAACTAGTCAGTATATTAAATGAACGACGTTTTATTTTAGTACATCATTTTGACATTCTCTGTAAGGTCTTCAACTATGAAATAAAGATATCATGCCTTCAAGCATGATCAAGACGACCTTTACCGGTGACATCAGTCCTCGTTGATACTGAACAATAATAGCTACATATGTCGTCAAAGGAACCTATGAAGGAGAAACCAAGTAGATAAACAAATTGCTTAATTATTTTCACAAATTTCATTATTTTATCCGAAAAAGACGATATGAATAACATGAATAAAGAAACTACAACCAAGCAAAAAATTAAAAGAGCATCATCAGAAAGACCTGACAATGAAAAGTAATAAATACTAACAACTAATAAGGCTGTATTAAACAAACAAAAATAGAACCACCACCCTGCCAAACATGTAGTGCCTTTGTAAATTAAGCCCGCAATACTTTCTATTACCGCTAGCCCTATATTCGTAGGAGAAATATCCAAATGACTGTAAACGGTCCGTTTGAATATGGGGCTATGGTAGTAATGATGATACACCTTTTCCTTCTGCTAAATTGAAGCCTATATAAAAGTTAATAAAACTTGCCTGTTCTCGACAGAAAACAAAATTATTGTTCATAAAAGATAATTCTTCCCGGTCCGCGTTGACTAGATGCAAATGCAAATACAATCCAAAATCTATTGACAATGAGTGGCTTGTTGCATCTGAACTTCCAAGTTAAGTGTATAAAGCGAATTTTGTAAAAATTCTTTAAATACCAAATAATTAGCTTTTTACTGACTTTCAATATATTTGGTTCCGATTCAACAAACTCAAATGTGTGTATTTTGAAAAAAAAACATAATTATATTCATTTTTTAAAAAGAAAATGAAGAAACATTTCAACTAAATTTTCAGGATAAAGAGATCGTTTTTATGCAAGAACAGAATTTATTCTAAGCAGTGGCCATCCGGAAGAATAGCTTTTATCTGATTTTATGTTATTTTTCCGGCAAGATATACATAACAATCAATAATGAATATGTTTTGGTTAAGTGGTTTATTGTAGCATCCAGTGGAGAATGTAGTGGCAAAATAATTATTCCCGTGCAAACACTAAGAAGAGGAACTTTAAAAATTTGTACGTTCTCCGCGCAGACGTTACTGATAATAAACTCAAGATAAAACTAGCTTCTACACTGTAACTTTGAAGAAAAAAAAAATCATTGCAATTTTATCTCTACTATATCATTTTGAGGTTAGATGATAATTATATACTAAACGTAAACGATTAGGATTTAAATCAAAATACAAAATAATATGGTAACTAGATGTTTTATTCAATTTCTTCAAAAGAAATCCTTATTAATTTGTAAAAACCTGAAAACAGTATAAAAAAAAGGAGATGTGGTATGATTGCCAATGAGACAACTATCCACCAAAGTTCAAATGAAGTGGATTTAAGAGTAATTTGAAGGAATGGCGTCTTGAGT